TGTTACCAGTTTGGAGGTGATGCCATCTGCTGCTACTATGAAAGGAGGGGCAGGCAAGCATTAGGAAGCTGGACAGTCTTTCGCTGCACCTGAGCTGGCTGTCTCCAGCTGCTGATCCCCTTCCCTGACGAGAACTCTGATAGTCTGTCTATCAACAGCACCGTCTAAGAGAAGTCAACATTATTTTTTAAATGATCAAATCTCAGGCTAAAGTGGAAAAAACAGTGTTTGGTTTTGGAAGCATTTCTGAACTCACTTCTCTGGGTGTATCTGATGGTCAGGGTATTTCAAGGGAACTCACAAAGACAGAGTGAAAAGACCGCATGAAAACACACTGCTGTGTTAGCCAACACAGTTTATGAGAAAGGGCAACCCTCTGAACTGGTATAGATGCCCCTTCCATCTTGTCTAGGAATAGAGTGAGACTTAGACTAGACTTACCCAAGTTTGGGAAACATACTAGAGACTCTCAGAACACCTTGTGAGTTGAGTATTAGTAGCCCCATCATTTCAAAAATGGGCTAATTAACATACCAAGGTTCACAGGGCCAGGAAATGAATAACTACAATTTCAAGCCAATGTCTTCTGATCCCAAGCTTAGCTTCTCCTTAGCTACCTGTCTGAATTGAATTGTACTTGAATATAAAAGGTATTTGCTGGCTCAGGGGAAGATTGAACCTTCCTTTTTACCCCCATTATGAGTAGGAGGTTGCAGAGGAGCGGAGGGATAATGGATACACAGGAATAAAAACTCAACCAAATACACTGGAGGTTTTTCACCCAGCAGATAATACATAACTCGGCTGAAAACTAAACAGAGATACAATTTGGAGATTTCGGGGAGACAGACTGGGTAAAAGCCAAGGCAAAACAACAGCTACCACTGCGACAAGGGGGCTTCTAAAGAACAAAGCGTGGGAGGGTGGCAGTTCTGAAGCTTGCTGTGTACTTACAGGAAGGAGACACAGGCAAACCAGCCACTCAGTTCCTTCCATTGCTAGTTTACTCCAGCTGGAGGCCTGGTTAAGGGACTAATACTGTTTGAATACGACAGTGCACAGAGCCACGTTCTAAAAAGAGGTCAGGAAGCTTTTAGGTAATGATACCAAAAGAAGGAAATTTAGCCCCAGTGCTAGATGCTTTTATATAGTTAAGATACAATTTTCACAACCTGGTGAGCCAGGTGTAATTATTCCTATGAAATCCAAACGCAAAAAAATTACGTAACTTGCCCAAGTCACAGTAGTTAAATTGAAATTTGAACTCTAGTTTCTGTGGCTCACAAACCCTTGCCCTTAGCCTGGGCTGCCTTCACCATAGCCCAAAACTACCATAAACCAGAGAATCCAGGGGCGGCCAGATGGCTCAGTTGGTTAGAGCGCAAGCTCTAAGCAACAGGATTGTCAGTTTGATTCCCACATGGGCCAGTGAGCTGCGCCCTCCGCAATTAGATTGAAGACAATGACTTGAGCTGAGCTGCCGATAGGTAACCGGATGGCTCAGTTGGTTAGAGCATGTGCTCTTAACAACAAGGCTGCCAGTTCGACTCTCACATGGGATGGTGGGCTGCATCCCCCACAACTAGATTGAAAACGGCAACTGGACTTAGAGCAGAGCTGCGCCCCTCCACAACTCGATTGAAACAACTTGACTTCGAGCTGATGGGTCCTGGGGAAAACACACCGTTCCCCAATTAAAAAAAAAAGTTAAAAAAAAACCAAAAAAAAAAAACCAGAGAGGCCAGAGCATGAGCCAAGTAAACCTACAGAATTTGACGGGATTGCATCACTTTCCACAAGTTCTGCAGCCTCAGTGCAGGTTACAGACATTCAGTTACTTTGACTTCTTCACTCCAATGAGGCATCTTTAGAAGGAAAGGGAAGCAAGCAGGAAGCACTCAAGGGACCCCGTGGTGGGCACTCCACGTCCACAAGGAAATCTGGGCTGAGTTCTGTGAGGTGTTACCCGCTGCCCTCTGCTGGCCACTGGGAAGAACGTGTGGAAAGAGGACCAAAGGTTCATTCAGGTTGAAAGGTCCAGAGATGACAGATGATGCAATGTGAAAAACCTTTTATGAGAGAAAAATCCAAACTTATGAAATAATGGTATAGTATATCTCCATGTGTATTCATCCAGCTTCCACATTGTATCATCTCATGACTAATCTTGTGTCATCCTCCCTCACCATGTTTTATTTTGAAGCAAATCTCAGAATCCTGTCATTTCATCTGTAAATATTTTAGTATGTATTTCTACAAGGAAAGGAAGTTTTAAAAAAAAACCCATCACACTACCATTCTCACAACTTAAAACAAAAAATCACCAATAAATACAGTAATTCCTTATAGTACAGGAAGCCAAAAAAAAGAACAAACAGAACCCCAAGCATTCAAGCCTCACCCAAGATTATAGCAAGGGAGCTGCAATCATGCAAAACACAGATTAATAACCTGAACCACCCAAGTAAACATAAGCACCTCATCTTCAGCCTTACCAGGATAAATCAGCAGGAACACTGAATAAATATCTTAATTGGAAATGCAAAGCTATGTACCCAAGTGATAGGAAAATCTTCAGCTGAGTAGATTTGGCACATGTGTTACTAAATCTTTCGTGAATCTTTGGCTGAATCTTTCCAGGAGGGCCACATAGCGTCCGTGGGGCCAAATACTTGGCTCTATCCAGGCAGTTGGGTTGAGACCTTAAGAGGTGTGACCATGCCAGCTCCCTGGCGATCTCAACCCAGGGATTAGAATCAGGCTAAAAGGTCACTCCCTTCTTTGTGTTACCTCTGAGCCATTTATGCCCTAGTACTGCAAATTTCTATTTATACACCTGTCTCCCTTTCTAGATTATGAACTTCTTGAAGGCAGGATGGTGTCTTGTGTTTACTTTGTATCCTGTGTGGCTAGCACATGAAAGACATTCAGTAGATGGTTACATAGGAAAGACTGAACTAGAAAAGTCCATCATTTGACAACACCAGGTTTTGGAAAGAATGGGGAAAAACAAGAACTCTTGTTTACTACTAGGGAGACTATATAAATTGATATAACCACCTAGAATGGCAATTTGGCAATATCCAAAGATATGTTCAAATACTTAAGACCATAGAACAAGAACAGGATGTTTTAAAATTTTTAAAAAGGGATATTCAGAGGACAAAAAAAGAAAACAAAAAGAGCTCCTGGAAATTAAAAATGGAACAGAAGAAATAAAAAACTCAGGAGAAGGGTTAGAAGCTAAAGTTGAGAAAATCTCCCAGAAAGCAAAACAAAAGGACAGAGAGATCAAAAATAGGAGAGAAAAGAAAGAAACCAAAGGACTAGCCTAGGAGATCCAATATTTGAATAAAAGGAGTTCCAGAAACAGAAGACAGAAAACAGATGGGAAGAGCAAAGAAAGAATAAAAGAAAAATGTCTTATATTCTGAATTTCTTAAATGAAAGAGCAATGACTCAGTATAACAGATAAAAACAAACTCACATCAAAACACATCACTGAGAAATTTCAGAGCCCTAGGGGAAAATAAAGATTTAACAGGCTGCCAGAAAGAACAATGATATCAAAATTCTAAAGGAAAATTATTTCCAATGTATCTCCAGCCTAAGTCTCAGTTATGTGTGAGCGTAGACTAAACATATATTTAGAGGGCCAGCTGAATGGTGCGTTGGTTAAGAGCTGGCTTGGGACGCCAGAGGGCCCCAGTTCGGATCCCACATGAGGGCCAGTGATGCTGTGCCCTGTACAGCTAAGATGGCGAACAACAGCTCAACCTGCAGCTGGGCTGCCGTGAGTCGCCGGTGACGGCATAGGCTGCAGCGGGGCTGCAGTGGGTTGCCATAAGCTACTGTGAGTGGCTGGCAGCCAGCGTGAGCAGCCGTCCAGTGGCTGGTGACCGATCTGCCTCACCAGGGAAGAGCACAATGATAATACCAACATGGGCCAGTGAAGCAACATCCTCCACAACTAGACTGAAGAACAAAAGGACAGCAACTTGTCTGTTCCCCTTTCCTGATTCCCCAATGCTGTTCCCCTCCCCCAATTTCCCAATAAAATCTTAAAAAAAAAAAAGAAAGATATATTTAGACATACAAATTTGCCTCCTATGTACTCTTTCTCAGAAAATTACTGCATGGTGTGCTTCACTAAAACTAGAGTGTACACCATTAAGGTAAAAGACACGAGATACAGGAAAGGGGATCCCTGACATGCTCGTAAGACAGGTGAAGACAATATCCATGGGAAAAGGAAGTTGTGTAGAGAAGGAAAAGTACATTATGGGGCTCACTTCTGAATCTCATTAACATACTCATACAATGCGAACCCTGGCGACAGACCTTACCAAAGCTACAATACAACTATTGAGTTGTTGGAAAAGTCATGATGTATTTTTTCATGTTTTTCATTGCAAAAATGCGTCATAACTTTTCTGACAACCCAATATATTAGGACAGAGAGATGGGAGGGTTCAGTGTGTGTGGTGAGGGTGCGTGGAAGAGTTGAATTCTAATCTACCATAGTGAGAAGTCAACAGATAATGCCTAAAATGGAAAAAGCAGAAGCAATATAAGTTTATTATTTAGAGAACTGGCAGTGAAAACAAAAATAACCCACCGAAAGTTGGAAGGAGCTGTCCCTGGAGAGGGTAAATGGGAAGAAGGGCCAGGTACTGTGGCTTCTACGATGATACGCATGTGTAACTTTCATAAATCAGAAACATGAGGGGAAAACCTGCACGCAAGGAGTTACTCAGAAAACTGAGAGGGGCAGTAAAGCCTTCCAACAGTACCTCACATAGTCTCACTTTTTTAGATAACCAGAAAATAGTGCTGTCTGCCTGTCTGTACGTTATTGCAATGTCCTAGTTTATGACCATCAAAATTTAGCATTTCACAAGCACTTGCGGGATACAGACAAAGCTTTACATTTTAACCAGAACTGCTGAGGCCACTCAATCCAGCAGCTTCATTAAGTATGGATTTTCAAAAGTTCTTACCAGCAGTGAAAATGCCTTTGGTGCTCTGTCTCATACTAGAAGGTCTCACGATTGCTGAAAGCCCTGTGAGGGGAAAAAAAAACCCAACAAGGATGCCAAAAAAGCCAGATGTTAGTCATCTTGACACATTTTAAAACCTGAAACTAAATATTCTTTCTAGTTATCCAATAAAACCAGCAAATCTATTTCTGTCCTGGTGTCATAGAGTGAATGTGAAAAGGGCATCAGGACTGAGGGCCAGGAGATGGGAGCGGCCAGCCGTGTCACCAACCAGCTGTGTGAGCACAGGCGAATGGCTGACCCCTCTGGGCCTGGGCCTGGGCCTCCTCACCTAAAAATGGGATGGGTTAGGTGACCCTCAAAGGTCATTTTAGGACTTTAAATCTGCTAAAGGCTGCTGGTTCTCCATTCCAAGATGTAAAAAGATTAAAAAAAAAACAACGTTCCTGCCTAGGGGAAAAACTTTCATTATGGAAACACACATAGAGGCCTCCTAGGTGACCCTCAAAGGTCATTTTAGGACTTTAAATCTGCTTAAGGCTGATTGTTCTCCATTCCAAGATGTAAAAAGATTAAAAAAAAAAAAGTTCCTGCCTAGGGGAAAAACTTTCCTTATGGAAACACATACAGAGGCCCCCTCAGTGAGAATCAACAGTACAGCCCCTCATGCTCTCAGAAAGAGGTCACACCGTGACCAGAATCATGTTAAAATGAGAAACAGCAAACATATGATATGCCTCCATATTTATCTTCAGAACAGGTACCTGGTGATCTTAAACGTGCCCTGACAACCTGGGACAGGTCCCTGAGAGAGTGTGCTTGGAGCCCGCCGACTGCAGTTAATGTTCCATATCGTCACTGTGAATTGTGTCTAGCACAGTGGTTTTTGCCCCTTGGAGTAAGTTCTTACTCAATGAAAGAGGAGAATGCACTCATCTGCGGGAGGGAGTCATTTTCAATTCCATAATTCTTTCTTTACTGACTGACCTCACAAATAACCTTTAACACCTCAAGGGAAGTGGGTCTCTGAAGACAAGGTGCAGAGTTTTTGGTAAACATTCGGGAGGCCCTGGGGATAATGTGGGGAACATGGGCCATGTCAGAGGGAACCTGCTGGACACGCCGCCAGACACACTGAATGGGAGTTTGCTGAGGAAAGCTGTGTTCTTGATGTTATAAAAGCATCAAAAATGTCACCAGTCTCCTTCCTTCTCAGACCACCTCGAAGAACACAGACATACCTTTGAATAACTTTTAGGAGTTATGCACTTGGGACCAAAAGAAACATTGTTTCCACCCTCCCCCCACCCCCACCCAATGATTTAGGACCCAGGAATCTGAAAATAGAAGTACTTTAACTACTCTCCTTCAAACAAATAAAAATTTAGATTTGGAAAACCCCCAGATTGTTAGTGTTTTCTTCCTCCCAGAAGCAATCTATCTCTTGATCTCACTAGGTAAGGAAGAATAAAGACTGCGTCTCAGTCACAAAGTTTGCTTTTACCCATGGCCAGCACTTCCTCAACATCAAGTTCATAAACATACCTAGTCGCACCACATCTCCACAGTCAGGGTCATGAGCAACTTGTAATAGAGTTTCTTCCACATCTCTGTTTTTCCCAGGAGGGTCCATAATATGGTTTATTTGTTGCTGTAAGGTTTTGGGCAATGTCATCAGCTGAGTGAATTGTCCTTCTGGGCTTTTATCTATCTAAGGGAAAAAAAAAAAAGACGATGTTTATGGAAAGTACTTTGACTTCTTTAAATATCCAAAGACACATGGCTTCTTTTTAAAGTCACACAAACATATATGAACCCATACCCTAGATAAGGCAGCATGCTAAGGAGACATTCTACTTTCTGAAACTGAAGGCATAATTAGTGTTTGAGATTTTTAAGTTCCTTCAAAAAAGCCAACTCTTTTCCTATAATATTCCATTTCTAGAGGAGAAAAACACAGAAGCTTTTTTTAAGGATCAATTTCTGACTCTCAATTTTAAAATTTCTATTTGTCTTAAATCCAGCAGTTAAAGGAAGGAGGCTGCAGCTAACATCCATTGAGGCCCCAGCAAATCCAGGCACTCAGATTACCTCTTCCATTTTAAACACAGGGGACACAGAGTAATACAGCCAGGATCATGCAGCCAGCGACATAGAGTGGAATCTAAATTTGTGTCTCCTGACTTTAGGGCTTTTTACATACCATGCTGTATTTCATACACTGTAGGAATAAAGTGATGACAAAAACTAATCTTATTCACTTTTAATCTCCTGGCAGAGTAGGTACTCAAAAAAAAAACAACAAAAAAAACAACAAAAAACCCCACTGATTGAATAAGGGAATGAATAACTGCATCAATAAAACTTAGTTTTCATTATTTCTTAAATAGGAGTGACACCAGTGGTTTTTGTTTCCAGTGTATTCTAAAATACATCAAATTAAAAGATAAATACAGAAATAAAACATATATAAAACTACACATCAGACTTTACTAGGAAGCCTTTGAATCAAAAGTTGGCCACAGAGCTGAGGCCACACCTAGCTTTCCTAACTCCCAGTCTAACGTACTTTATTCATGGAACAAATTTTTACAAAATCATGTAAATACTGACTGCCTGCCAAATTGAGAACCAGGAACACTACCCTCAATAGCTCATCACATTATTTTCCAAGTAAGAATCTTTTTTTTTGTATTCTTTTAACAAATGTTTAGGTTTTAACTTTAACAGAACAGTAAGAAAAACATTAGACAAATGAATGTACTAAATTTTAGATTCGGGTTTTCCAGATACTACCAACTTTCTTAATAATGTAGAACTTACTTATTCCACCACCTTTTTTCATTCAACAAATATTTATGGAGTACATGTCAATGTCTAAATTTTCTAGTTTTACCTATAAAATCTAAGCAAAGAAAAAAATGCTATTATTTAGTGGCTCCAATAACGGTGAAGGGTGTTTTTAACCTAAATATTTCATATTTATCATGAAGATGGTACTAAATTCACAGGATTCAACCTCTACTCAGCTTTGGCTAGATAAACAACAACAAAAAATATGGATATTTCTGTAAAATATGCTAGAAATGATATTTATGGACTCATTTTGAGGCCAAGTATTGAGGTTAGTGAAAAGGACCTTATATAATTGTAAGGCTTTAACTACGAAACTTCCAGGAATTTTAGAGATTTCAAAATGGCTTCAGTACGATGAGGAATTAGAAAATAGTATTTGACACTGCTTTCTCTTGAAGAAAAGAATGCACTGGAATTTTTGCTTGACACTGCTTTCTCTTGAGGGAAAGAATGCACTGGAATTTTTGCTTGAAAGCATGTGTTTAAAGACAAAATATGAGGTGACATGTCAATAAATAGTTAAATTCTAATTATCCTTACTCTTTAATTCTTCATGTTTTAATGGCAATGAAGGTGAAAGCATTCAGTTAAATAGTGAGAGTCAAACTGCATTTTAAAAGCAGATGTGGAAAAGACCACATATTGAATGATTCTATTTATACAAAGTGTCCAGAACTGGCAAATTCGTAGAGGCAGAAAGTAAATTAGTGGTTGCCTGAGGGGAGGGGAAGGTAGGGACTGCTGGTAGGTATGAGTTTCTTTTTGGAGTGATAGGAATTTTCTAAAATAAGATTGTGGCGATGACTGCACAACTCTGTGACTACACTAAAAACCACTGAATTTTATGGCATGTGACTATAACTCAATAAAGCTGATTATTTTAAAACAGTAAGTATGGTCACATGATAGTGGACTGTACTGCACCACCCAGATGCTGGCTTCGGGGCCAAGGTACTCATTCCACTGGCTGCTGGGACTCTCTCAGAGTCCCTCCTGGAACTCCTCTGCTGAAGTGAGCTGCCTATAACCACTGACAGGAACATGCAGAAATACAAAGGTCTGGACTCTGCTCCATAATGGGAAAACTAGGAAGGGCCATCTGACTCCACAGTGCCACCATAGGATCAGATGAGGTCTTTGGTTCAAATCTGCCAAATTCTGACCTTACACAATTGGTACCAGGAATGGTTCTACAAAGCACACTCTAACATGGGGCTGTCATTTTGGAGCTGTCATAGTATAGAAGGCCGAGTAGAAGCCTCTTGAGCTGCCATTCTCACCCCCTGGCCAAAGAGTAATTAAAAAATAAAAACACATTCCAGAAGGAATGGTAGAGATTAGTGTTGCCTGTGGACCTAAAGGATGTAGGGGTGTGATGTTTAATTTAATGCGTCAACTTGGCTAGGCTATAGTGCCCTGTTGCTTGGTTAAACATTGGTCTAAGTCAGGGGTCGGCAAACTGCGGCTCGTGAGCCACATGCGGCTCTTTGGGTACAGACATGTGGCTCTGAAGTAAAATTGAAAATAAAAATAAAAACTATCATAGTCTCTTTTGTAAAAATTTTAAAGGATGTTATCACATAATGTGATTTCATTTGTTTTATGGCTCTCGAATAATTTTTAAATTGTTGTGAGGCACAGGATTGGCTCTTCCGTCGCAAAAGTTTGCCGACCCCTGGTCTAAATGTTACTGTGAAGGTATTTTTTAGATGTAATTAACATTTAAGTCAGTAAAGCAGATTATGGAGGCATAATGTGAGTGGGCCTCATCTAATCAGTTGAAGGCCTTAAGAAAAAAGACTAGTTTCCTGAGGAAGAAGGAATTCTGTCTCCAGATTGCCCTCAGACTCAAGGCTACAACATACTCTTCCCTGGGTCTCCTGCTTGCCAGTGTGCCCTGCATATTCCAAACTTGCCAGCCCCCCCCCCCGCAATCCTGTGAGCTAATTCCTTAAAATCAATCAATCTATCTATCTATCTCTCTCTCCATATCTATATCTATATCTATATACACACATATTTATTTATTTATCTCTATATATAAAATCTCCATCCATCCTATTCTTATTGGTTCTGTTTCTCTGGAGAGCCCTAATACTAGGTTTGGGCTGATAGTCCGTACCACATCTCCATTAAGGCTGTCCCTCACAAAATCCAAATGGATTCTGCAGACTGCAGTAGCCTGCAGATTGCAGTAGGCTACCACACACTCAACCAAGTAGAAGCCCCTATTGCGTCTGCTGTGCCAGAGGTGCTAAACCTGCTAGAGCAGATCAACAGAATTGCAGGTATCTGGATAGGGCCACAGACCTGGTGAGAGCATTCTTTTCCATTCCTAGTAGGAAAGAGCAGGGATCGGCAAACTTTTGAGATGGAAGAGCCAATCCTGTCCCTCACAACAAATTAAAAATTATTCAAGAGCCATAAAACAAAGGAAATCACCATTATGTGAATAATATCCTTTAAAAATTTTATAAATGAAACTATGATAGTTTTATTTTCATTTTCAATTTACTTCAGAGCCACATGTATGTGCCCAAAGAGTCGCATGTGGCTCGCAAGCTGCAGTTTGCCAAACCCTGGGAAAGAGGATCAGAAGCAGCTCACATTCATATAGGACAGACAAACGTATTACCTATGGTTTGTCTCAGGGCTATGTTAACTCTCCCATCCTCTGTCATACGATTTTCAAAGGAAACCAGACTATTTGGACATTTTGTACAATCTCATGTTGGTCCACTACATTAATGATATGTTGCTACTGTCACCTGGTGAGTAATAGGGGACAAGTACATTGGAGGCCTTGGTAGATACATGCACTCCGGAGGGTAGAAGAGTAACCCTATGAAGTTTCAAGAGCCCACCATATCAGTGATGTTTTTAGGGGTCAAGTGGCCTGGAGCATGCTGGGATGTCCTCTCGAAAGTAAAGGTCAGCTTATTGCATCTTGCACCTCTCACCACTAAGAAAGAAGCACAATATCTAGTAGGCCTCTTCAGGTTCTGGAGGCAGCATATTCCACTTGGGAATAATGCTCAGACCCATTTACCACATGATATAAAAGGATGCCAGGTTTGTGAGGGGCCCAGACAAGAGCTCTGCAACAGCCCAAGCAGCAGTGTAAACAACTCTGCCCACTTGGGCCACACACCTTGTAAACTCCATGGTACGAGAGGTAACCTCAGTGTAAAAAGAAGCCATGGGAAGCTTATATAGCTCTCAGTAGGAGAATCACAAGGTAGACTGTTAGGGTTCTGGGGCAAGGCCATGCCATCTACGGTGAAGAGCCATACACCATGTGAAATCTGCTCCCAGATACTAGATCCTGGTAGAGATGGAGCTTCTAATCGTGCGACATCCAATGACCATGCATCAAGAACTGCCCATCATGAGCTGGGATCTGTCAGATGCCCCAAGTCAGAAAGTCAGGCAGGATCAACAGTGATCCACTATAAGATGGAAGAGGTACACTAGCGTTAGAAGGAGCAAGGCCAGAGGGTACAAGCAAGCTGCGCGAACAGGAAGCCTAGATCCCGTAACATTCGCTGTGCTGTTCCATCACCACACACTGTTCTGCTTTCCCACTGGCTACTGCATATGGCCACATGGAGGCTCTCTCATGACTGACTGGCTTTTGGAAGAAGAGAAAGGACGAGCTCGCTTCAGAGATGATTTGGCTTAGTATGTACAACCTGAAAATGATGCACTAGAGCCTCACTCGGGGATGGCCTTGAAAGACATTAATGAGGGGGAATCCTCCCAATGAGTCTGCTTCGGGTGATATACCTGATCACCTACTTTACATGGGAAAAGTGACCCAAAGTAAGAATATCAAAGACACATGCGGAGTGAAGA